ATCCACAAAAGATATTCTGTGGATATCTCTGGGATTTGGTGTGTTGTCTGGGTTGTAGTGCGCATGTCGTACGCGTTTTATTTGTGTTCAGGCCATTGGTGTTTATGCCGGTTGACGTAGCCAGGTATGGATCAAAATTTTCTGGTGGCGGCAAAGCCGCTACCGTACGAGAAGTCGTTGCTTTGTCTTATTGTTGTCACGACATTATTATTATTTGTTCATGTATGTGAAATTTGCTTCTAAAGTTTATAAAATACTACGGCGTAAATGAAAACAAACAAGACGCATTCACACAAACACTTTTTTAATTCTTCAACACATATTTATAATAAATGTTTTTAACCATTTTCACTTTTTTTACAGCAAACTGGCTAAAGAACGGGGACTGGACTTTATAAACATCACATGCACAGGAGCGTACTCAGCCAAGTTAGCAGAAAAATTAAACTTTGAATTAAAATATACTTTAAAGTATTCTAATTACAAGGAAAATGGCATCGTTGTGTTCAAACCACAAATACCCCATACGTCTTTAAATGTATATTTAAAAAAATTATGAGTACCTCTAAAAATGCTAAATATGTTTTTATATTTTTTTAATAGTCACTCAAAACACAGGTGCTTTAAATGTGGTTCTCAGATCAATTGACTTATAAGTAGCAATGGCATAGGATAAAGAGAATGTTTGATGGTTGTTAGCACACGTCAACAAGATATGTGTTTCTCTATCTGCTATAAAGATATAATTTCATTTCGGGTACGAATATTTGTAACCTATTTTTTCCTGACCAATGGTATGGGTTATACAGCATAACAGCTCTACCGTCGCGTGTGTCGGTGACATAAAGGTGTGAGTAAGGATTTTTTATCTTTAAATTTAAATAGTTTAAATTAACATTATGTACGCTTAAATGAAATATAAGAAAACACAAAAAGAGTATTAAAACCATAGGTGGGCGCAACTGACTTTTATAAAGATTAAAAGTTCAGTGTTATTTGATAAAAAAAACTTTTTATAATCTAAGGATAAGCAGTTCAAAAACCGTAGTGAATGACATATAAATAATTAAACCATAAATATGTGAACCTGCAAATAAACACTTGTACAGATGGCAAGATATTCTGCGAAATAAAAGTCATACCTAATTTAAAATGAATTTAATAGAAAAAGATATACCTATTATAAATATTTTCTCAATTTCTTTGTATATTACATACAATGTGTGTCTACCTAAATTGGAACCATATGGAAAACTTTTTTATTATTGGTTTTGTAAAAAAATGTTTTCCTGATAAAAAGTTCTGCATGGTCCAAAACTTAAAATGCAACCATCAGATATCATTTTTTAAGCCTAAACAAGGTTTGTCAAAAAATATGAATTTTGCTGAAGAGCGTAAAGTACCTCTATTTTTGACAAACCTCATACACGACTAATAAAATTTGATATATGATAGTTGTATTTTAGGTTTTAGATCATGCTTGACTTTTTATGGAGAATAATTTTTTTCCTAATATTAATAGGTAATAAAAAAAATTCTCATATGCCACCAACTGCCTATTTTATTTAATTCAGCTATATAATATAGATATAAAATGTCTCCTAAAAAAAGGATATTCATAAAATATTTTAAATTAATAACATGTAAAAGTAAAAATTACAATGAATACTGAATAGTGAGTACCAGCTATCAGCGTTCTATCAGAGACTGGCTGCATAGTACATGCCCAAGCGATATTCGGTGTCTCCATCTATGATAACGGGGGACGGAGCCCTCCTGGTCTGTTGGGGTTGGGTCTGTGGCAGTTAAAGGCCTTTTGTTTTTTATCGTGCTTTTATCCAATACATTTACTTACCCTTAATAAGGCTATCATCTACCAACATAATGTTGGGCCACTATCGAAACACCAACAGTGTCCCTTCATTTACAGCAAAAGGCCTTCAATATTCCAGCAATTCATTGTTTATTGGGTACTAGCAATTGCATACTGTACACATACTTGATTATATACATTCTCAGTATTTGCATAGCACAAAGAACGTCCCGTAACATACCTATACTTTGTATATTCTGAGATTGTTCTAAATGCAAATAAAGTTTTAAAATATTTATTTCCTTACAGTTAGGAAATCTTGACTTTTTCTTTAGTTTGACAATTCAACATTGACCAAACCTCTTACGAAATAATAAGAAAGGATTTTAAATTAGTCAAATTGGAAAAACGAAGAATTAACCATAAGTTATTGTTTTTGTATAAACTGCTAAATAATAAAATAAACTGTGAATTTTTACTATCTGAAATTAAATTTTATATCCCAGGTCATGTCGTTCGGCCTAAAAACAAACTTTTCTTTATACCAAAACACATGCTGCTATTGGATAATATCTGCTGCATATACAGGGTGTTATTGAAATACACGTACATATTAAAACTGGGTATTGCGCAGATCCCCACTGAATGTAGAAAAATATTATTTTTTAAAAATACCCCTTATTAAGGGAGTTATTAATTTTTGAAAATTAATTCTAAAACAAACGTACTTCACTGATATGTTGAGGATGACCTATATAAATTAGGTTTATTTACCTATTTTAAACATCAACAGTAATTAATATGCAAGTTTTTGTCAGATGATAAGAAAACTAGTCTTGTAAGAAATAACCATGTTGCCAAGATTTTCGAATTAATTTCTATTTCCGAAGACTGGTTTTTACTACCCTCGTTATCAGAAAACTAGAATATTTGATAAATGATTGTTTTTAAACTATACATTTTTGAAACTATAGATTATTAAAATTTTAGTTGATTTACGAATCTGGCTAACACGAGCGCGTCATTTCCAAGTTGGTAAAAAGTGTTGTTACGATTACTTTTAAATATTTTTTTACGATGCCACTATTTACGAATATTGAACTAACGGATATAGTGCTGGTTTATGGGGCAGCTGGAGAAAATTCTCGGCAAGCACAAATCCTGTATCGCGAACGGTTTCCAAATCGGAGAATTCCGGACTGTCGTACGTTTATTTCAACTGTTCAGCATCTAAGAGACCATGGAAAATTTGAGAGTGTCAATGCAGATCGAGGGAGAACAAGAACACAAAGAAAATTGGCGGCCGAAGAAGAAATATTGGAAGCTGTTGAAAACCGGCCTCAATTAAGTTGTAGAAGACTAGGTCTTGAAATTGGAGTGTCCTCATTTGTTGTGTGGCGGACACTTAAAGAACAAGGTTTACATCCTTATCACATCCAAAAAGTCCAGGCCTTATATCCAGGTGATGAAGAAAAGAGAGTGGAGTTTTGTGAATGGATGATTCAAAAATGTGTTGATATTCCTGATTTTCTAAAAATATTATTGTATACTGACGAGGCTTCATTCACTCGTGATGGCGTGTTCAATATGCACAATACGCATATTTGGAGTGATGAAAATCCTCACGCCATTAGGGAAACTGGACATCAAAGAAAATTTTCAATAAATGTTTGGACTGGCATAATAGATCAGTATTTAATCGGGCCTTATGTTCTCCCGAACAGATTAAATGGGCCAGGATATCTCCACTTTTTAGAAGATATTTTGCCAGTACTCCTAGAAGAGATACCGTTACAATTAAGGCAACGGATGTGGTACCTACTAGATGGCGCTCCTCCTCACTTTGATTTAAACGTACGGCAGTTTTTGAACATTAGATTTCCTCAAAAGTGGATAGGCAGAAATGGACCTACTAAGTGGCCTCCGAGATCTCCGGACTTAAATCCATGCGATTTCTTTTTGTGGGGTCACATGAAACAACTGGTTTATAATGAATCTATTAATAGTGTTGAACAATTAACCAATAAAGTTAATGCGGTAGCCGAGGAACTACGACAAAATCCAAGACTAATTTCTAATGTTCAAAGTTCTTTGGAAAGACGATTGCAAGTGTGTGTAAATAATAATGGACGGCATTTTGAACAATTACTGTAATAAACTTTTATTTTGAATTAATTGGTTTTGCTACGGCAACAGTGCAATTTCTATGGGTAAGTTCAATTTCGATTTATTTTACTTCTTTAAATATGGAAACTAGTAGGTCGGAAAAGGGGACTCTTCCCCAATATTTAAATTTTAGAATTTGAAGTTAAAATTGGTGCCAATCGTTTTTGGTCATTACATACTATTCCCCATTTTAATATGTACGTGTATTTCAATAACACCCTGTATAATAACCACAATACATCTTTAAATCTGGATATATTTAATACATCACTTAAAACTTTCAAATCCCACCTGTTAAAATCAGAATTTGCATAGAGATTTAAATATTATATATATATAAAAAAAAAGATTCATTGTGAAACATGCTTACCTAATTTATATTGATTATTTTAAGATTTTCCAGATTTTGATTAATTCAATGAATATTTTTTATTTTAACAATCTTATTTATATACTATTTTTAATTCTAATGGAGCATTGGTAGATGCAAGTAGTTATAAGTTTCGTAAATTATTTTTGTTTTTGTACTTATACTCGTTTATATTTTTTATGTCTTTCTTCTTTTATATTAACTTTATTGGGAGCATTGGTAAACGTATTTAGTTGTAGTTTAATTTTTCTTAGGAGAACATGTAATGAGGTTATAAAACCTGTTTGTTTTCTGTTAAATAAATAAATAAATAAAATAAATAAATTAATACGTTTCCATAGTAACGCAACCAATTTATTACATATTTTAAAGCACTATTTATTTGTGAATAAAATTATTCGCGATTTTTTCAAAATTAATTAATATGTATCGAATTTTAAACGATTTGCTGAAAAATAGTATGTTTATCTCGTAGGAAAAGCCACATTCCTGGACTCTGTGTTGCTAGCAATCTTCACACTCGTCCCGGAATGTTAGACTTTTCCTACTTGGTAAACAATATACTATTATTAAATAGCAAAAAATATAATGCGTATTTTTATACTTAATAACATTTATTTCCTTATTTTTTTAAATAAATTTATACCAAATTTCTATGCTCTTTTTTTATTTATTTATCTATAAATACCTACATAATATTAAAAAAAATCAATTTTAATTTTGACAAAAAAGTGTTTTATTTTAGAGCTTTTATCTTTTATATATGTACTTGTTTCTGGCAATAAAAGCCACCCGCTGTGCCTTTTTTATGACTTGAGGACAACGGGAAGACGTTTTCATTTGACACTCATGGAAAAATCCTTCGTTTCTTGGAAATCCATGGCTATTATCCGAAAATGTTGTTAGACCTACAAAAACATTATTCTACGTTTTCTTAATAAAAAGAGATCAACCTCGGATAAGAGATAATGAGTTGGAAACTCGGATACACCTTCATTTTGGCGTTCTAAGAGTTGTCCAAAAAGTCTCATAAAATCTCGTGTCTGCATTGTAAGTTATTAAAGGTACAAGAGGGCATAAATATCTTGTTTTTGTGATTATATAAGTTTCTATAGCTTCAATCATGTTAACACCTATTACAAAAATTGTAGGGCATAAAATTTGCGACACATTTTGTTGTAAACATTTCAGACGGACAGCGCGCAGTGCTCAGTCATACATACTGTAGGGGAGAGCGGGGCAAGACGGGGTATTTAAGGTTTGATTGATAATATTTCATACAGGATAAGTTCAATAAATTTACAAAATTAGGAAACACATTGTTATATATTTGTTTATTATGTATTAAAATTAAAAAAACATACAATAAAAAATGAAAGAGTAAAAAAAGTTGAAACAGGGGCATGTCAAAAACGGAAATGATGCGGGGCAAGATGGTATCTATTCACATAGGGAACAAATATGGGTCACTTCATCATCCTCATCCTCTTCGCCCGCACAGGAACAATGGGCCCATCTGTGACATCTGATACAAAGGATCCACCCTTCGGTCGATTCAGAGTAAAGATGGCCACAGTACAAACACTCTGCATCAGAAGATTCAGAGGATGATACTGATGATGTTGATGGCCTTTTTTTGATCCCAGTCTTTTTCGGTTTAAAATTTTCTTTAGAACCAATTGTTTTTTTTTGTATTTTCTTGCCCTTCGCATTATTTTTGTTTTCTAATTATCTCTTAACATTTTCTTTCTTCTGTAGCTCTTTATTTTGTCTCTCAGCAATTTCCTTTTCTAGTTCCTGTTTATACGGCGATTCCGTTAAAACAGCCCAGCTAGCACAAAAATATCCCATCTACGTTAATAAGCTGCAATTTTAGGCTCTTTAAGCTCGCATGCAATGTACTGTAAATGTAACCCTATTATCCCTGCAACTACCGAATGTCCGCAACGGCAAGACTTTTATAGCACATCTCGTAGAAGTTATAATGTGAAGTTCGGAAAACATCACACTAGCACTTTTACGGTACTTACCCCGAAAGTTGCTCTGAAACTTTCTATAGATGTTATAATGTGAATTCCTTCTACAGCATTATACAGTGTGTCCACGGATGGACTTAACAATACTTGTAAAAATATTTATTTTAAATTTTAAAGTACTTCTTCATAATTTCTTTTGCTTGTTAAATAAATACGATTAACGTTGAGAAATTATGAAAAATACCTCTTTTGAAAAATTTAAAATAAATATCTTTACAAGTATAGTTATGTCCATCCTTGGATACACTATATGCAAAATAGTATATTAGGGATATAGTAAAATCTGAAGAAAACAAAATAAAAAAATTGTATAAATTTATTATTAAAAAGCTATTGAAATCAAATACCAATATCATACAAGTAGAGGTAGGTAATAATACAGGTACATGTGTGATACCATAAGGTAGCTATAAAACACTGACAAATTGGACAAAAGTAGGTATAGAGGGTATATAAGGAATATCTCAAAAGTTCACTAGAATCAAAAACATTGAATGCTTGCACGAAAGAGTATAATAAGGTACCTATATTGCAAAGGTTCATAAGTAGCTAAAATGGTGAACTTTTGTACAAAAGTAATAAAAAAAAGTGTATTTATATAAGGTATATTTCAAAGGTCACTAGATTTTTATTAAGATGGCAGTTGTACGATGCTAAAAAAATATATTTACCTACAACTGGTAGTAATCATAGTTTTAATACGATATAACTTGATTAAACTGAATATTGATAAATGTAAAGTTATAAGGTTTAATAAAACAGCTAATATCATTATGCATGATTATGTCACTTCAGGTTCTGAACTATAAATGATCTTGGTGATATTTTTGACAGGGGCCTATCGTTTATTCCTCATTTTATTAGATTCCTTGTTCCTGCCAGACTTACTAGGCAGATTAAACTATTTTATGTAAATACTCATAGAACTAACTGTGGACAGAATTTATTTGTAGACCAACTGATGTCCAATTACAATAAGTATTTTTCAAATCATGACATTTTAGTAGGTTTTTTTTAAGCGTCGACTTTCATTATACTATATTGACTTCAATTTTATACTATGACAATTTTATTAATTTCATTTTTATTTTAATTTAATTGATATTTTAAATGTACCATTTAGAACTTTATGTATCTGTAGCGTACTGTAAACAAATAAATAATGTGAACTTAATTATATAATTTCTTCCTAAAAATAACCTTGTAGATAATAAATTTACTTGTTTATTATTAAAGAAAATAATATGTATAAAGAAAATGAAAAATATGCTCGTTTAAATCGTTGCACCTATTTTTAGTTGATTTTTACTTACTTTGTTTTCCTAAATAAATAATAACCTTTATTTTGATTTTTACAAATTTGATACTTAATAATGGATGTTCAACTTATACAGAACAATGTTTTTAGCATGATATTCTGCTATGAAAGAAAAAGAAATAATTTCAGATGTTATATATTCTTCTTCAACCAATTCTGTATTATTAACTTTAGCTTCTAAAATTCCTGACATTTTTACTAGAATTATAATCCACCACAAAGAAAACCTACAACAAAATATTTTTAAAATTTATTTTTAGTGATTAAAATATTATTTTTAAAGTTTGTCCAGCAATTGGTATTGTGCAGCAAATGTACAGCAAAATGGCATAGGTATATGTCCAGTGAAATGCTGTATTTATCCACCAAAACGTCACTACTGTCCAGCAATGGTAATACTTAATTTACTGAAATGTAACAAATTTAAATGTTATTTATCTTTAGTGAACTACATGAGCACTTCTAACTGCCGTCCTAGCAAGAAAGGTTTTATCTGCAAAATTATCAGTTTTTTTATTTATGTGCATTTGTCTACATTTTATCTTTCTTAATACTGAAATGGAATGTCTTATTTGCATCAAAGGTACTAAAATGTTGAAAAGTTACACAAAAAAGGTTTAAAAGATAATAAATATATTTGCTAAAAATAGTTAAAAACTCGATTATTTCAAGACAACAAATTTTCAGATAGGACCTCTCTGCCTAGGATGGCAGTATATGACATCTTTGTTTTTGTATTTTTATAGTAGTATAGGAGTAGGGCTAAGAGTATCAGTCAAAGGTATTGATACTGGTATCATGTGAAATACTTTGTGGTACAGGCATCGATACTGTTCGATATTATGTTAAAGATATCGATATTTATAAGTATCAAAGTATTGAACAAGTAAAAGATTTTTTTTAAACGGCTGACAACCCCCATTCAACAGGATGGAGTGGAGAACTTAACTAAAAACAAGTGTGCATCAGTAAAGTATATTCTGTAGTTGACACCTTTTCTTTCTCTACTGGTACAAGTTATAGTGTCAATAACTGGCAATTTAACTTATAATTAAATAACAAAAAAAAACAGTGGTAAGGCTTAATCATATTACCAAGTTTCACCACATGCGAAAACTAAAATAATTGAACAAACCTTATTATTCCTGACCACACACATAGCGATACGATACTTGCTTCTAAGTATGGATATGGCGATAGTATTGGTAATTCAGTATCAGTGCCTAAATATGGATACTTTCATTGTTTAATATCGATACTTCTATAGTATTGAGACATCAATAAGATCCCTATTATCCTGTAAAATATAGGCAGTCATTTAATATTGCAATCTAAAAGAACAGACAATAAATTAGAAAATATGTTTCTATTTTATTGAAAAGAAGAAAAGAACTTACGAAACTTATTCAAAGGTATAGTTTACAATTTCTTTAAAATCTCAAATAAATACAAGAAAATGTGACAAGTGACATTTTTTTATGTTTTGTTGGTTATGACAAACGAATGGGCACGTTCGAAAACAAAATAATGTATATAGTACATCTCGTGGATACTTTTTTAGCAAGTTACTTTATTACGTTGTGTTATCATAACAGGCAGGTTAAATACGTAAGTAACAAATAGATGTTTCGCGAGGTTTTGATTTCTCTCAACAACTTCTCATGTACGTTGCAATTACGTTATATGATAATGTTATTACGTTCCCTTAAAACAACATCGCCGAAAGGCTTGGCAACGTTATGTGCTAGCTGGGAGCGGTCTTGCCTTTTTTTTCGGGTAACCCTAGGAGTCGTTTGCTTGCAGGAAGGAACCGGCATAATATCTTCCGGTGTGCATGGTAAATGCGAAAGATTAGTTTGTTTTGGAGTTATAAATTCGAAGGAAGTAGCAGGCTTAGTTAAATCTTGAAAGTCTATTTTAAAAGTGGAATTAGACGAACAGGAAGCCTGGATACTTGGGGCATCAGAACTAACTATTGGTTGATCTGTAGGTGTAGAAGGGCGCGGAGGAATAACCGGATTCGACAAATTCGTGGAAAGTTCAGACGTATTCATTTGACTATCAGGTATGGAGTTATTAGAAAGAACAATTTCTGTGGTCTGTAATGGAGCGAAATCTGCTTCTCCAAAAACATTTCTATTAAGTGGCCATACTCCAGTCTGACGAAATCCATTAATTGCCGTAAGCATTGTAGCTGCTCGCAAGAAAGCATTTCCGAACAAGCTTGCAATTTGATACTGCGAAACAACCCGTCCTGGGTTTGTTCTCAGCCACTGAGATATTTCTGTATCATAGAAAACACTCACAGGCCGCATAAATGAAACGTCCAGTGGCTGCAAACGATGTGAACAATGTGGAGGGAAACATAATAAAATGACACCATTTTCTCGTGCGTAGTTGATCAACTCTATATTTTTTTGTATGAGTGGAGTGGCCATCTAGTAGCAGAAGTACAGGTGACGTTTTTGAAGCTTTGCTAAATTGAACGAACTTTTTAAACCATGCAAAAAATATCTCTTTTTGCATCCACCCACTTGAGTGAGTCTCAGCCCATGCACCAGGAGAACAGCCATTCAATAACTCTGGATTCATTTTAGAACGTGGGAAAATAAACATTGGTGGCATGTAGGTACCTGCAGCGTTAAAACATATCTCAATTGTGATAGTTTTACCTCTCTCAGCAGAAGTCAGTGCTCCAACTTGCTTTCTTCCTTTTAACGAAATAATTATTGACTTAGTTTTGAAACTGATACGCCAGTTTCATTGCAGTTGTATATTCTTTCTGGAGTTAATTTATATTTATCTACTAATCGAGTTAGAAGATCAAAAAAATTATTAACAACTGTAGGATTAAATCCTGCTGCTCTTGCAGCAATGGTAGCCTCAGGTTTTCTTAGAGATATCCTAGGATTGCGACGCATAAAACCTGAGAGCCAATCTTTCCCTGCAGTTCGTTTTTCAGTTGCGAATACATGGGCTTTATTTGAGCCTTTCAGCCCACTGGAAAGCTAATACTCGTAGGTCGTAAGGAGTAAGGCCAAAAAATCTCTCCTCCATTTTTAAGAGAAATTTTACTAGCAAATTTTCCTCTTCTGAACTAAAAACTGGCTTTTTTGGACCTAAACTGGGTTTAAGTTGCTCAGTTCCAATATATGGATTTTCTCTAGCTATTTTAACTTTTCTCTCCAAAGTTGATTGAGGCACACCGTACGATTCAGCTCCCCTTTTATATCCCATTTCCTCATTTAACACAGCTGTAACGGCATGTTCCATCCCTTCAACAGACCAATTTCCACGGTCAGACTTTCGTTTATACTTTCTGACCATGATCTTAAAAAGAAAATAATTATAAATATAATTTTACTCTGGCAATTTAAACAACAAAGGTGACTTTCTATATACCAAGTAGTACCCCTTTTTACCCCTCAAAAACAAAACCATCTTGCTCCTTCGCGCCATTTTGCAAAAATTTCTAATTACTGCGATTCTGGTTTATAAAAAATAAAAACTAATTATACGTAACTAACTGCAAATACATCCCACATACACCAGTAAATATTTAAAAAATGTAAAAATAATGTCTACTTACTTATCACAGTTTAAACTTGACCACTATAAAAACCACGGCATACTAAACTTTTAACCCGTGGTTACAGACCTTGACAGCGCATTTTGTTGTTGTTTTCCGTTCGATCGACTGCCCCCACTCGCTACAGTTAGTGGTACCCCATCTTACCTCAGTACCCCGTCTTGCCCCGCTCTCCCCTAATGCAAGGTTAACTGTTATTAAATAAATACGTTAAGTATTTACAAAGACATTATGGGTCATAAACTACATCATCATAGAAGAGATAGATTTCCTCATTATTTTAATAGGACGCAAGCCATCAACAAGAAAGTTGGAAAATGCAATGTCCAAACACAAATCTATTATTTAAAAAGTTTTGACAAATATCCCCTTTCTAAAAAACATATTTCATTTTTACATACATTCGATAGCTGTGATACAACTTCTGTACTATTTAAAAGAGGAAAAAACTTTCAACAAATTATTATAAAAAATTGACAATTTCAACCAACTGGTTAAAGTTTTTTTTAAATTATACGAAAATGGAGCACGCATCTTACTAGCGATATACAACGCTCCTAAATCTGAGGACAATATCGATCATCTTTGATGTACTCAGTTCGTTAAATCGACAAAGCATCATAAATCTGTCCAGTTATCTAATCTTCCACCGAGTGCAGCATATAAACCGTGATTATTACCAAGTTCAAAAATGGTTAAGGCATTATTTAGAACCTTAGAAATGATGTTGGTTGCTTTAAAATGAATTCCTAGAGCCAATGACAACAATATTACCATCAGCTACAGATGAATTACTTAATAATATATTTTGGACCACGCTGCGGATGCAGAAAATCGGAATTGCAATGCACTTTAGTGTGTGGTCAAAGTAAAAGACAAGCTTGCCTCTATGATGTTTTAATGCAACGCGACCCCGAGAGAGTGACCAGCAATTCTAGAAGGACTGGAAACGACGTTTCAGGACAACGAAGATGAAGACAATAAAACAGAAATATTCAAACGCGTATAAGAAAAGAGAAGAAAAAATATTTTTTTCTTTAAATTATTAAATATTCAAAGATGGTTAAGCGCTTGAAAAAATGTTTGAAACAAAATGTGTTGCAAATTTTATACTCTACAATTTTGAGACAACTTTTAGAATAACAAAATGAACGCGTATTCCGAGATAAAACTCCTAATATGATTGGACTATATATAGAGGATCGTTAATACAAAACCCGATGCACGTCATCGATCATTTATCATGCAGTATTGTCTAATCGACAGAAATAGGCATTCCAAATAAAATGGCTACCAGTGGGTTTTGACTGGTTATGATATGACAAAATTGTGGCAACCCTGTAGGCCTGTGATTTGACAGGAACAATGAAATAGCTAGTTATATAGATTGATCATCTATGTTTTTCAAAATAAACATAAGCCTATGTCTTGAAGTAAAAATGTAGGTAATTATTTTTTTATTATATTCAAATGATGAAAATTGGTTTGTAAACACATTTTTCTAAACCGATTCTGATATAATGAGCACTTGCGAGGTAATATGGCCACCCGCTTTGAGCAATCTATATAACTATATATGTATATCATTGACCCTGTCAATAACAACAGGCTCACAGAGTTGCCATATCTAAACTGTCAGTTCCCACTTGTCAGCATTTTGACAGGTCGTTGTTATACGTGTGTCTTTTTTTCCACCGGTTTGTTGCAACCGTTGTTTCACCGATGCGGCCTTGAACGTTTTGTGTTGGATTCTGGTTGACCGTTGAAATAAATAACAGTTGACATACCGCACCGATGCCAACGTTGCTGCAACAGTTGGATAAAAAGACACACGTAATGCCTATCATTGCCGCGTTTGAGAATCCACATCAGATGCATTTTTTACATCTCGAGCGTTTTTTTATCCACATCGGACACATCTGTCCCATTACATTTACGTATACTGAATCACGTGATCAAAGATTTTTTACATCTCAGATGCATCCGATGTGGATTCTCAAACGCAGCATATATTTTCATGAGAATGTTCGTGAGTACCTACAGGGTGGCTCACGCTCAACGGGACGGAGCTTTATGGGAAAACGACCAAAGATATAAAAAATTCGTTTGGGAGGAATACGTAGGTTACAGACGGCTACAATTTAAAATTTGTTAGATGTATACAGGATGTCCCACATAAGAAAAAAAAATTAGTTAATTAAAAATTATTCAAACAAGAGTAAACAATTAATTTCTGGGAGACTTTTTTTCCTTAAAAATTCAAATAAATCGAAAACTAATAATAATAGTAATAGGGAACCTTTAGTTAACTGACATTATTTTTGGTGTAGTTTTTAATTCTAAAATAAAAAACAGGGTGTTCCATTAAAAATAATATAACTTTGTATATTTTCTCTTATGTGGGACATCCTGTATACATCTAACAAATTTTAAATTGTAGCCGTCTGTAACCTGTATTCCTCCCAAACGAATTTGTTATATCTTTGGTCGTTTTCCCATAAAGCCCCGTCCCGTTGAGCGTGAGCCACCCTGTATATATTCGTGAGATATTATGTTTTAGATTATTGCTTAAGGAAATTTTAATTAGTTCTGGTAGTACTGTGATGATGAAAGAGTCGTTAACGTGTCATTGATGACGTGCAATGACTTTTTGTATAATATATTTTTATTTTTATTACCAAGACCCCAAATTTTTCCTCCTCGAAATTCTCCTTCATGTTTCATACCATCTGATCTCCAAAAAATACCATATCCGTGAAACCAACCATCAAAAAATTCTCCTTCGTATCTAAAATAAAGCAAATAAATCAGTTTGTTTGCTTTATGAAGACCGCAAATTGACTGAAATATTAATAAAAATTATTAGAGCTGTAGGAAAATTAAAATTGTCTACTCACTTTGCACCATCTGGGAAAGAAAGTACACCAATTCCATGAAACAAACCATTTTCAAATAATCCATCGTATCTAGTACCATCTGGAAGTTGCAAATGACCTTCTCCTTGTCGTTTACCACCAAAATTCCAGGAGCCTACATAAATTGTTCGATCATCATAATTATAACCACCCTCAGCAGCAACGGGTACTGAAAATAAAAAAGGACTAGAACCTATTTTAAAGATATTTCTTTTCTCAGTGTAGGTATTTTAAATTCAACACCAAAAGCAATCTTGTTGAAATTAATAATATTACTATTAACTTACAACGCCCTTCGTCCATTTCTACACTTAAATAATATGATTAAACAGTGAAAAAGATATTATCTGTTCAAATATAATTAAATTAGTTTAATTAAATTAGGAGAAAAAGTGCATTTAAAAACATTCCCATTTAAAATTTAAATTTGCCCCAGGCGGGTAGGCAATATATTTTACAGCAATTGTTACCCAACAACCAACAACACAACGCCAAGCAGCGTTGCCGCTGTTAACACCAAATTTCTCCTTCTCAGACTTTGTATTTGAGTGTGAGCTGACAATCTTTATTGCAAATAATGAATTTGAAGGTATTATTTTTATTTTTTTTTAGAAATAACTATGCATTCATAATATTTACATTATTTAATGAAATAATACTAATAACAGTTTAGTATCCAGCTTAATATTTTATGCAATATTTGTTTTAGGCAATTTAACAACACTGAAAAAATAAAGCATTGATTAGCGTGTGTGCACCAGTGTATTGTTTGTAAATAAATCTTTTTTACTTTAGATATGGTCTCTACGAGAGGACTAAAATTGAGATTTGTTGAAGGTGAAAGAGTTTTATGTTATGAACCAGACCCTACAAAAGCAAAAGTTCTGTACGATTCTAAAGTAAGCCTAACCTCAACAATGTTGAGATACCTACATTCTAGTTGTGTTAGTTGTCAATCAATATTCTTATTTTGAATCTTTCATCAGGTATTGGATATTGTTATCAATAAGGACCATCGTGGAAGGAAACACATAGAGTACCTAATTCATTTCCAGGTAAGTTGAAAATATGCAAAATTAACTTTAGTTTGTTTATTGTACCATTTGTAACTAGGTATCTAATTTTTTGTATCAAACAGTGATGATGAATATTGGATTAATTTAAATGGTGTCAGTTTTTTTCTTTACTTTAATTGAAGAAAAAATGAAAACTGATTTGTTTAATGTCACCAGTCATCATGAACAGTTATTTTTTATTAAATTTCTTATAGCTATAGTTTTTGCAAAGACACAGTACCATTTTATACATTATTGTTATTAACCTTTTGATATACAATACAATAACAGTAGAAGGATTTTTTAATTAGCCAATTATAAGTATAATATGTATAAAATTATAACCTACTCCACAACTTCATTAAAAACAGATAAAGTAGAAAAACAATTAATATTTAAAGAGAAACAGATATTTAATAACATTACCTAATTAACATACTCTGAAATTTGATCGAAGAAGCTGCTACTACATAAACTATAAACATATTAACATTATTTTTTCTTTATAATTTCTCATGACTTCTGCTTCCTATTAACTAGGGATATCAATCCTGAAAGGTTTTCTTATAGTGAATTTTATTTGTTGCACTAGGTGTAAGTGTTCTGCACTAATCGCATTTGGTTTGTTCAGTGTAGTTTCAAATATTTGAGTGTAGATAAAGCGTAATTGTTTTATTTGTAAACAAATGTACACTGAATTTACACCTATACACTGATTTTCAACTGAAGTGTAGCTGTCAAATGTGTGATAATTTGCAGTAATTGATATACAAAAAAAGAGTGGATCTGAATGAATCTATGGTGGATGTTGTATATATTATGATGAGTGATTTTAATAGAGTAATGGCTATATGTGAGCATTTGTCTTTATCTTTTACATCGGAAGAAGATGAAGTATTAACAGAAGTTCTTTTATTAGATTCATTGAGTTGAGTTAAACAGATGTACATCCTATTGCACCTCTTAAAACAGGAATCTAAGTGACTTACATTGAGAAAAGTGATTAGTGTTTTATGTCCAAAGATGTGTAACAATCTGCTTCATAAATGGATGTAAATAGTTTTGGAACTAAATAAGTGAAATACCTACAGAAAAATTACATATTTTAGCCGCTTATATTGCCATAAATTTAATTATCTTGCCAAAATAAACTGGTTCTGTTTTAAAAATACTGATAAGATAGCCGATAGTATCTATAAAAAAATTTAAGGAATAAATAGTAAATACCAGTAGAGTGTTGTTAATTAGGTGTTTCAAAAACAGTATGTGATAATTAGAACAAATGGACTGTTTTTCATGCAAGAAAATACATCAGCCCACAAGACATAAAAATCCCATACTTTGCTTGTGACATCTGCAAATAATTATATTGCATTCAATGCAGCGAATTAAGCTCCTCTGAAGTACGATGTATGCCCCTGCAGAAACGTAACCTGAAGTTCCATTGTAACAGCTGCAAAAAATTTGAGCATGCAAAATTATTGGAAAATATCATACAGAATAAAACAAAGATAATTGAAGATCAGGAAATTATAATTAAGTTATTAAATGAAAAAATCGCTAACCTAGAAAAAAACCAGGTAAATACTACTACATATGCTAATATTACAAAAAAAGAAAATGTGAAAGTTGTAGAAAACTATCCTAAATGAATTATAAATGAATTAAACTCAAAAATTAATCCCGTCGATCTAAAATTAGGAGTATCAAACGTTAAAAAAATAAATAAAGGTGCAGTTATAATAAAATGTCAATCAAAAAGTGAAACTGTAAAATAAAAAATCTGATGTGTCCAACACATGGCTTTCCTATCTAGTTATTATAGGCATTTTCCGGTTATTTTGTACAACCTATTGCAGCATCTCTATAAATGTTTAGAGGATAAACTAAATATATACATTTTACACATACATTTACCTCGAAACATTTTTCTATAGATATTCATTGAAAACGAAAATACTGAAAAATTTAAATTTAGCACTTTTCCATTACAGTCCATTTTAGAAAAATCATGTATAAACAAAAATTATAGAGATCGATATCGCAAACAACTTTTAGTTCAACAATTTTCATAAAAATCAGAATTTTGCACATTTTGTCAAATTTCTCGAATACGGACCATTTCAGGAAATTTTGATATAAAGCAAAAATTATAGATAATAATATTAGAAGTAACTTTTATTTGAACAATTTTCTTCTCCAAACACAAATAACAGATATATTCCATAAAATATAAAAACGGTCTCCCATAAAGTACCCCCCCAGATGTTCCGACTTTGTCCAAAATCTAATCTTTTCACGTCAGGCCGAAATAAACCTTAAGTTTAAAATTTAATGTTTTTTCCTTTATCCGTTTTTGAGTTTTCTTCAAATTTCGAAATTTACACATTTTCTCAAATATCTCGAATACGGTCCATTTTAGAGAAATTATGTATAGGACAAAAATTACAGAGAATTATATTACAAACAACTTTTATTTGAACAATTTTTATAAAAAATTATTTTTTTTACATTTTGTCAAATTTCTCGAATACGGACCATTTTAGGAAAATTTTGTATAAAACAAAAATTATAGATAATTATATTAGAAGTAACTTTTATTTGAAGAATTTTCTTCTCCAAACGTAAATAACAGATATATTCCATAAAATATAAAAATGACCACCTATAAAGTACCCCCCCAGATGTTCCGACTCTGCCCAAAATCTAATCAGCTCATTGGACGCTGAAACAAAGCTTAAGTTTAAAATTTGGTGTTTTTCTGTATCGGTTCATGAGTTATGCGTGTGCACACACACACAGACATCATCGCGAAAATAGTCAAAACGGATTCAGGGGACCTCAAAACGTAAAAATCCGTCGAAAACTCGAGGTCGAAAAAAATCATGATTCCTATACTTTCCTTATATCTGTATACAGATAGGAAAGTAAAAATGAAATTGAGAATAAATTACCTAAAAACTATGAAATAGAATTTACAAAAATGAAGCTACCTAGAATAACAATAGTAAATTTCACAAAATATGTGAAACTTGGAAATTGAAAATTCAATAAAAGAACAAAACAATATAGAAGGAGATATCAAAGTCACATATATCAAAAGGAAAACTAGAGACAACACTAAAACAATTTTCTGCGAATGTTTACCTATAGCATTTCACCAAATCATGAATAAGAAAAAAAATCTGTATTGGATGGTGTAACAGCAGGCTTAAACAAGAGAATGTTGTTACAAGTCAGTTGTGAACGCTGTCAAATAAAATACTCATTACTTGCATTTGTAACAGCAGGCTTAAACAAGAGAATGTTGTTACAAGTCAGTTGTGAACGCTGTCAAATAAAATACTCATTACTTGCATTTGTATTATTATTATTTTTAAAAATATAATAATTCATGGTGTCAGAAGTGGGATCCCCAAAATGAATGATGAAACTAAAAAGGAAATTGATAAATTGCGTGAGCAAATCGAAGAATTAACCATAATGAATCGCCAAATGATTGCATCCAAAACAGTAGCAACACAAGCGAAAAGATTGGAATAAATGGGTACAACATTTCGATATGTACGAAAAAGTGACACAGTTGCACAAGAGGGATGTAGGTCAACAAATATCTACATTTATGATGACAGTAGGAACTGAATGGTTTGAAACATTTAACAACTGGCCTATCGAAAAAAAAAGTCTCAGTGACTGATCTTAAGCTAGCCTTTAAAGAGTTGTTCGTGCCAAAAATAAATACTGCTTATGAAACAATGATTTTCAATAGAATGGCTCAAGAAGAAAATGAAACCTTCAATTGCTTCTTCACCAAAATAGAAACACAAGTTAAAAAGTGTGAATTTAAGGACATGGAAGAAAGAATATTAAAAGATAAAATAATCATAGGTATACGAAATGAAAATCTAAGAGAGAAACTATTATCTATGGATGAACCAAGTTTAGCACAGACGCTTACTTTATGTAGAAATAGCGAAATTAGAAGCAAGCAAATGGAAACGTTAAAAAATGAAAATATAATTAATGTTAATGCTATCAAAAACTACAAAAAGTGCCAAACGAGTCCTTCGACTTCCTCTGAAACTTTTCAGTGCAGACGTTGCGACACAACCCATGGTCGTAAACAATGTCCTGTCTTTGGGAAAAGTTGCAGAATTTGTAATAATATCGGACATTTCACCAAATGTTGCAGAAAGAGACAGAAATCGGAACAAATTAAACATGGCCGAAAGAGAGAAACGAGAGTGAAAGTGATTGATACAGACAGTGAAATATCTGATTTCACTCGATCCTCATCTCAAGACACTTCAGATGAAGACTTTTTTGTCAATGTCATCCTAAAATGCTCAGAGATCAGGGCAACAAAAACTAAGAAAGAAGATTTCATTGAAACTTATTTTGATAGTTTCGTCAGCTAATAAACGTAATTTTTGACACTGGTGCCGAATGTAATGTCATATCTGAAAAGTTAATCAGAGATCCCAGCAAAAATATTAAAACTTCGGGTACCAAAATGTTAAAAGGGTTCAATAATGCAAAGTCCAAGGTTATTGGCGAGATTACACTGCCTTGCGTCATCGACGACAAGAAAATGAAAATACTTTTTAAAGTAGTGAAAGAAAACATCTTACCGGTGATTGGAAAACACACTTGTGTCAAGCAAAATCTGGTAGCACGAACATCTCAAATTAATAGTATTCAAATCAATGAAAATCATCAAATATTCAAAGGGTTAGGATGCATAAACGACTTTGAATACAAAATAGATATCAGACCGAATGCGGAATTTCAAATTCATCCTTCCCGAGTAATACCACATGCTATAAGAAACCAAGTAAAGTCAGAACTTGAAAATATGATTAAATTAGGAGTGGTTCAAAGAATTAATGAACCTACACCAATTGCCAGCCCTATGGTAATAGTAAAACAAAAGAACAAGCTAAGAATTTGTCTTGATCCTTCAGAACTCAATAAACAAATACTTGGCGGCATTATCCTTT